TCTCTGTAAATTTAGAGTCTGACTTCCTTCAAAGTGACAGAAGAGGTTTCCAGAAATCACGCTGATCATGCCTGAGGTTGCCTGACTAATTCTGATCCTGACGGCCCGTTCTGGAAAACAGAACTCCTCACCTTATCTCTGAGTCGGTCAGGTCCTCGTCTCGCCGACGCCTCCCGCTCTTTTTTTACGGATAATGTGAAAAATAAAATTACATTTTCCAGTCTGTCAGTTGTTATTTCCTCCTCCTCCAAATTTGTAAACTTATAATAGTCATTCCTCTTTCTGACATGATCGCTGATTTTATTATGCTGTTAATCACACAATAAAAAAACGACCGTCTTTCATGGTTGTTTTGTCCACCATGAAAGATGTGAAGTGTGAAAATGAACATCCTAAACCACATGGCCGCACGTCGACAGTTCGACTTCTGGACCGCTAAGGCGAAGCCCCTCCATCCTACGGTGGAAGCTTCCTGTATTGTGGATCTTCTTAAAGTGATGATCCATGTGTTAGATCCATCTTTAAAGGCTTGGAAGGGGATGAAGCAGAAAAGCAAGAGCTTCGCTTTTCCTTTCAGCTCCTTCTTTACTACATTGGGATTTCTGCAGACAAGGCAGTTATTTGAAAAAAAGGGGAAAAAATCATAGATGAATGGAAAATTTACAATTATTAAAATATGAAAAATTTATGTTGAAGTAGTTTTGGCTTAAATGTGCCTTTTAACCTCCATTGATCTGGAATGAATCAAGCTACATCGTCTTTCACCTTCGGCCTCAATCATCTGAGCGGCATTTAAATAATTCGCTTGTAAGGTGATGAGCAGTGACATTTTTCTTAAAGCCAGATTCCCGCGATCCTGGAAAGGAGCTGAGCTGGAAACCGAGAGCTCAGTTCCTCCTGTCCCAACAACCCCTTTGAGGGGAATGATGAAGAGTGGCCTGCACAAAGCCAGCACTCAGCTTTAATTGGATGGAAGGTGGTTGTACCCCTGTACCATAAATAACTGGACCCAGAAAAGCTGTGGATATATATATATGTGTGTGTGTGTGTGGGTGTGGGTGTGTGTGTGTGTGTGTGTGTGTGTGTTTTAGGGGTTAGTTGGGTGGAGAAAGGTTTAACCATAATGCAGTCTCACAGAGAACTTGAGCACACTGAGAATGGCGGAGGCTGCCAGGAACCTGGTGTAAATATCCTGTGGGCTAACTGATTTGTCGATGGTCATAAACACGACATAAAGAGCTAATATACAGGTCAGCACCTGCATGATATATTACTGCATGAGGCTAAAGGGCTTTATCAAAGCATTTCAATTTCCTTAAAATCCCCCTAAAAAAGTGCATTTCTGTAAAGAATACTTTGATTTTTTTTTCTTTAAAGTTTGGACTGGACATTTTTAAAAGTTTTTTAGAGTTAGATTTATATGTTTAAGAAAATAAAATAAAGACATAACTTTTAATAAAACACAAGGGAGATATCAGACAGGAGGTGAAACTAATCACCATTTTACAATCCAATCAGAGTTTCTCGAAATAATTCTAATACCTCATACTGGCTAGCTGCGTCTTGCCATTATTCATGTTTATGGTCTTTATGGCCAACATCTCAGGATCTAGAGATTCATGGAGAGGAATGTATCTGGTCTAGGGGTGGCAGGGCTCTTTATTAGATTTTTGCAGATGATATGGTCCTGTGGACGTATTGGCAGAACATTGCACTAAGACACTGATCTAATAAATAACAACAAAAAAAGAAATATATTCCAGGTTACAAAATACAGCAGTGGGATATAATTGCATGGTTGAAGGAACCTTCAATACAATATCAAATCTACATGGAGAGCAGTATTTTTAAAAGTAGCCAGTTGAATGCAGTCAGTCAGATTTCCCACACTTTGTTTCTGTCAATAAATTCAATTCTTAAAATAATCTCGTTTTACGATAAAACGTGTTGGAGCTAGGATGAGGTGGGGTTTTGGCCGTATCGACGTTGGTTAATTTCGAGACATTGTTTTGTTTTTTACCTGCTGACGGACAGCTGCTTCGTTCACATTGGGGTGCGTTCGTGACCGAAGTAAGTTATGTGACATTGGTGAATGAAATGTGCGCTACATTGTAGATAAATCGGCAGTTAAGTTATGCTGTTGTTAGCCTTCGCTTATAGCCTGCACAGCTTAGCTAAGCTAAGCTAATACTCTGGTTTGTGTGTTTACATTTATACACATTGGGTGTTTTTCTGTTGCTGTTAAGAGCCTTTATCAGTTCCATAAGCATGTTTGAGACATATACAGTCTGTTAATTTGGTGTGAGGAGTATTTTACACTTTGCTTTTGTGTCACTCAGCATATTATAGACTCCTTTGTGTTAAATTTCGCGCATGCGCACAAGGCTGAGGAGAGGAGGACTCTTCTTTTACATCTATAGCTGCGCTAATGCGGTAGAACAATTTTACTAAATGAAACCTGAAGATGTAGGTACTATTAATTTAGTGCAGTCCGCCACAGAAAAAGGAAAAATACCGCTAGAGAACAATTTATGAGGACTTTTTTTCTGCTCTCTGTGTGGGTTACTACGCAGAGTTGTTGCCATAGCAACTGATAACAACGCCACATTACCCACACAAAGAGCAGGACATTCAGACCGTTTCAGTGTTATGCTTTTAGGCTTGATGTTTATTTCACAAATATTAACATGTGTTCGCTGTTGTATTTTATCTACCGTTGCTATTGGCTAATATAGGTTAACTAATTTAAACATCTTTTCTACTGATGATCTGTCAGAGTTGGTGTCACCTTCTTATTTTTTAACTGAACTGAAACACACCAAATTCCACATCACATTTCCATGTTAAGGTTTTCAAAGTCCAGCAAGAATAACTAACCTACTTTCCTCTCCCTCGCTTTTTTTTTTTAATTAAAACTTTTTCCTGACTTTTTCAGCTTAAACCAAAGGTAGTCATCATTGGCAAACAGCTTTTTGCCCTCCAGCATGGAGATGGAGGCGGGATCTTGTGAGCATGACGTTTTAATTGTTTCATATTAAAACTGTGTGACAGTTACGCAATTGTAATTAAATTGCAATTGCATAATTGTGTTTTTTCGACATTAGCCAAATAGGACAAAGTTTTGTGCACATTTATAATGGAAGTACAACTCTTGTTGAATTTATGCCATGATGAATGAAAGTGTTCACTTCTAGTAAGGTGTACTTCATAATGTGGTTGGTGAGTGTATATCAGCCATACATAAACCAGCACCTACAATTATTTCCGCTGTGTGGTGGCAGGGCTCTGGCTAAAAGATGAGGTGAGGAGCCTCATCTCCTCGCCTCAAACGGCTCTCACCAGAGTTGCTGCTCCTCTACATTATGAGAAGTCAGCTGAGGTGGTTTGAACGTTTATCTCCTGGATGTCACACAGATTCCAGTGGTAAAAGACCTGGGGCAGATCTAGAGCTCCCCGGAGTAATCTGTATGTGCCTTGGGATCTCTTAGGAGGAGCTGGGAAGCTTGAGGGATGCCTGGGTTTTCCCTCTTGGACATTTTACCTCCATGACCCAATTATGTATGAGTGGGAGGCATTAGATAGATGACTCTTTGCTGGAATATATTTTGCACATCTAATTTAAATGTGCTCTCTGTCTTCCCCCTTATGTCAGACAATTCTCACCTCACAACTGGTGGAATTTAATTGGCTTAAAATTTTGCCACTTGGAAACTGATTGAGAGAGCATTCACATCACTTCTGTTTAGTCCATTTGAGTCAAACACGTTTGTTTAGAAAGTCCAGTTTGGTTGGAGAAGTGTGAATGCACAACCAAACTCTGATGCGGACCCAAAAAAAACAAACTGATCAGCTGGTTGGAGTGATCTCTGGTGTGGTTCAAATGCATATTGGATTTCAAATGGACCAGAGACCGCTCTAAAAGCAGGAAGTGGAAAATACCGCAGGGCATTCTGGGTAAATACAAACAAACGTGCTAATCTAGTCCTAGCAGGAGAAATGGCTAGTAGTTTTTTACCAAAGACAAAAGAGAAATCGCTAAAATCTGATGCTACTCCATTTTTGGTTTTTGTTTTGAGAAAAAAGAAGTTATGCTCAATGTCTTCTTCAAAGGCTGTCATGTTGTTTCCTTCAATGATTCTTGGTGCAGCGCCACCACTGGCCAGTTGAGGAAGTTGAGCATCAAAACTGTGGAAATACTTTAAAATATAAAGTCACAGTGTCTTTTTTTTTTTTTTTTTTTTTTCATATTTTTCTAAGATTAGGCACAATTATTTTTTCAAAACTAACTTTTTCCAACTTCTTTAAAGCTACATTTATTATAGTTTTTTGATTGAACTTGAACTGTCATCTTATAATCCATCTATTGATCAAAATCAAAGAACTAGAGAGATGCATATTAATCACTAAATTCATCTTTTTATGCTTTTGCCCTTGAAGAAACCACCGTTTGTCCCTTTTTGCAGAAACATGTCAGGATTGAAGGTGTGGGATGTAAAACTATCATTATCAAGCTTCCCCATGCACTCCCATCTCAGCCCTAATTGCCTTTTTCTCCTTGTGATCATGTGTGTTTTGGACAAGATGTCCATCTATAACTTACAGAAGGAAGGACCCCCGTCCGGCTCGACCATCTGTCACCTGGGCACCTGCAGGGCTCCGAGCCTTGTGCTGAATAAAATTAAGACATTGCAACAACAAACGTCCAGTTATGCTTCAGCCAGGCTCACACAGATTCACACTTCTCACTGTGATAAATATTCCTGTCACAACTGAAAAGACACATTACTTCAGAGTCAATTTTCTTCTTGTTACCTTTGATTATTGTGGGTTTTTTACCTGAATTTGCTGGATATTTTGTATTTTTATTCGGGCAGCTAGCAGGGACATCACTGTCCCACTGAGACACAAATTAAAATAGCACCAAGAAGGAAAAACTGACCACATTCCACCACTCCTTTCAAACTCGTCTTTTCCTTATGTTTTTTTCTCCGGACTCGCAGGCGGAGGCCCAAGGTCAGTGGAGGTCTGACGGGACGTTGATGAATGGATGTGAAGGGTGTCATCCTGGATAAACAGCGCCCGGGCCCACATGCTGCTACATCCTGAAAAATACGTCTGCTCCACCAGCAGCCCAGGGAAATAGTTTGGAGGTTTCACACATCCTTTCGATTGCTCACTCTGTCTTTCTCTCTGCGTGGAACGTACATCACTCCCCGTGTATGAAAAGAAAAGAAAAAAAATAACACACACCCATCTTATAGTCCAAACCACACAAACACACATGCGTTTCGCTGGCACTGAGGTCATGTAATATTTGATACATGACACAGAGAACGCGGTCCGTTTCCAGTAAAGGTCACTGTTTTTTTGACAAACTGTGGATCCGCTAACATTCGTGCCTTCCACGCGCCGTTACAGCCAAATAAATGCGTCTGTCTCTGCCGGCTAATCTCCAATCCCTCCCCGCCTCGCTCCTTCATGTCTCCGTAGATAAATAGCTTAACATAAAAGACCTCTTAAAATATGACTTTGCTCCGTCTTAAGTGGAGTAAACTGGAAGGATGAAGGAGGGGAATTGGAGGTGATGGTAGATCCTGGGACAGACCCAAACCAGGAAGCGTCAAGGACAAAGTGAAATCTTAACGGGGTACAGAAAGCCGTAAAGATGGAGAGATTGCTCAAACAAGGGGTGGAATGCATAAGAAAAAAGGATTTATTGCATTCATTAAAAAAATTAATAAAATTCTCTCTTACTACAGAAAAAATTAACTGCTTAGCAGTGCAGACTTTTACAGACTATTTCCCACCGGCTTATTTTGAGGACTTTGTTCAGAACTCCATCCAGCTCCAACTGAAGGTCAGAATGACTCTTAGTGGCCTGTCTCCTCTAAAAATTGACCTTCTAGGAATCTAAGCTTGCTTTCATTAATATTAACTATTTTCTTTTCCTCTGTCACTGTAAACTCAAAGAAAAGGGAGGAATAGAATATCCTTTAGCTGCAGGTGTGATAAAACATGAATCAGCCTCAGTATCATCTGTCACATTGAATATTGAAATTTGTTTACATTTTTCCTGTCATTAACATTCAGCATCTGCTTCATCTGTTGTTCCTGGAGCAAATACCACTGATGGTATTCAAACACAAATTTACACTTTTTTTTTTACTTTGGCTTTCAGTTGTTCTGAGCTAACAATCTAAATAATCCTTTTGGCGTTACATGAGTCAGAGAAATGAAAACATATTTTCTCAGGTGGCGCTTTGATCATGACAAGATTAACTGCAGCAGGAACCTCTAACCTTGGCAAATAGGAAACAACTTGGGAAGATATTTCTTCTCACATCTGGACTTGACAATATTTGCTTATTTTACCTTGCAAGCGATTACCCAATCGATCAGACGGTGAGAACATTTCTTGTGCACAATCGTCGTCACTGTGACTCAGACTGTCAAAAACGTTCATTTTCCTCTTATGAAATAATATTTTTATTAATTTGTCTGGACTCACTGTGATGTTAAAAAAAATATGTAAAGATTGTCAGGTAATTTGATCTGTTTACGCTTTTATCGACCTTTAAAAGAAAAAAAAAAAAAACGAGAGAACAGCTGCTTCTCATGATGATGCCACTCCCGTGCTTCACCATGTTCTTCCTGGTCTTGGGTTTTGTGTTGACCCTGGAAAAGCCACTCTTAACTCCATACCTGCTATGACAAATTATTAAACCTCTATTGTGTTTTTAAGTTTATTACAACTATTGTTGAATGTAAGCTGATGAATTCAATTCTGCTGGTTGCATTTAATAAATTTAAAATTACTTTATTGTGATAATTCTTAGCTAAATACCAAGAAGTGACTTGTTTTGAGTAATGACCTTTTTACCATTATTTTTGCATTTTGTAGTGTGCAAAAATACCTCAAAGTCCTGAAATGTTAGTCAAACTTAACATTCGGTCTCAGTCTTTATCTTGGAAGATCCCGACTTGACTCCCTGCCTGGTGTATAAATAACCCTTCTTGTACTCTTCTCCTGACTGATACCTTTGATAAATAATGTTCTTTTGATCTCTTATAATATCCTCTCTGCAAACAATTATTTAGCAACAGGATGGAAATGAGTAATTTTTTTAATCAGATTAATTAAGCCAAACTAGCCAAAGGTTTTACATCCCAACAAAAGCTGGCAGTTTAACAGGGTTGTGCATACGTTTTAAACAGAATGAAATAGTGCCAGAAATATTAAACCTGCATCAGTAGTACAAATATACAAATGATTACTGTACTGTAAGCTGCCAACAGTGGTGGCCAGCTGTCTGCAGAATGAAAAATGAAAGTATATACTTGGGGATATTTGATCAACAGGAAATAGAAGCTCTCAAAGCCACAGAAATAGTTCTTATCAGGGTCAAATCAAATAGCAGTTATTTTCTAGACAATGATAAAATATAAAACAGTCCTGCAGTATTAGAGGTTCGGCCTTACCACAGCTCACAGTGGACAAGCAGTCACCAGTTAATAACAGGGATGATTAATGTGCTCTATATTAAATTTTGTTAGCCTCAGAAAGATGTGATTACCAACAAAACCACAGCAGAAAACACACAATAAGAACATACCGGATCACCACATGAAAGCTGATCCAATATCAGTGGATCTGTGTTGCAAGGCAACGGCGGAGCGGCAGGAAGTTCCTCGTCCCTCATTCAGGAATGAATGATCGGGATGATCTCGACTTCCATTGATCCCTGTCTCAGTTTGATTGGACATTATCAAAGTAGAGCTCAAATTTGTGAAAAATACATGAATCCATCACTGCAGAATGTATCTTTACACTTTATTATCGTCTGATATACCCATATCTATCCTACTGCAATATAAATGGAGAAATATTTTTCCCACAACTTTGCATAAATCGCTGGGTCTTCAAAAAAATGCTTTGTTAGGATTTACAACTCAATCAGATTATCAGACAGAGACAGAGGCCCAATGTCAAGGTATTAAATATTGAAGTCAAATTCTTTTAAGTCATATATGTATATATAAAAAATCCCTTCTCACCCTCCGCGGGTGGGTCTCTCTCTCTCTCTCTCTCTCTCTCTCTCTCTCTCTCTC